CACCCTGGTGGTAAAGAGAAGAGGACTTGGTGTAGCCACAGAAGGAATGAAGAAAGGAAAGGGGTATATATTATCAGCAAGACCTCACAGATTAGACCATAATTAGTAAACTAGGGTAAAAAGGTCAAAGAGGGCACCAAGTTTTCTGTCATGGTGGCTAAAAAAGTTATGATCCAACTAAGAAAACAGAATAATCATTTTGATGGTTGGAGATACAGTTTTTGGATTTCTTTTTCTTTCTTTCTTTCTTTTTATTTTTTTGAGTTGGAGTCTCACTCTGTTGTCGAGGCTGGAATGCAGTGGCACACTTACAGCTACTCCAGTGTAAAGGTTAGAAGAAAAAGTAGAAAGATTTTTTTTGGAAATTAAATAAAGTAGAACAAAAAGATAAAGAATGTAGAATCAGACAAAAGATAAGAATTATTAAAAAAATGAAAACAGGAAAATTTTCAGAACTGAAGGGCATGTTTCAACATTGGTTATGATCACCAAGTACCCAGCCCAATGAATAAAGCAAGACCCACACAAAGATATATCAAATACTGAAATGTCAAAACATCAAGAACAAAGACAAGATTGAGTAAACTTCAGAGAGAAATGTAAAGGTAGAATAAAGGTCCATCTTTTTTCAGACATACAAGGTCCACAAAAACTTCCCACGCACTCTTTCTTAGGAAGCTAATCAAGAATATGCTTCAACAAATCAACGAAAGAGGAAGACAGGCAATCCAAGAAATAAAGGAATCAATACAGAAGAGAGGAAGAAGGAATTCCTAAGAAAATGGTGAAAAGAAATCTCAGGATAATAGTTGTGCAGCAGGCTTATAAACAAGAAATCTAGAGCTTAGCATTAGAAGTTGAATGTTCTACAAGTGATGTATTCAAGATGAAAATGGATCTGAGAGATAGTTTGATACAATTGATTGTACTGGTAAATCTTTGGCTTAGTTAGAGGTAGAGGCCAGGCGCAGTGGCTCATGCCTGTAATCCCAGCACTTTGGGAGACAGAGACAAGAGGATTGCCTGAAGCCAGGGGTTTGAGACCAGTTTGGACAACTTGGCGAGACTTGTCTCTATAATAAATTACAAGATTAGCCAGGTGTGGCGTGTGCCTGTAATTCCAGCTACTTGGAAGGCTGAGGCAGAATGATCGCCTGAGCCCAGCAGGTCGAGACTGCAGTAGCTGTGAGCATGCCACTACACTCCAGCTTGTGCAGCAGAGTGAGACTCCAATTCAAATAGAATAAAAGTTAGAGGCAGGCAAAGAATTAAGCAAATAAACACAACAATGAAGCAACTATTAATTTCAGGAAAAATACAAAGTTTAATAAGAAAAGTAATCACAGTAAAATACCTGACTTAGTAATGAATATTAAAATAACTCTAATGCTTTAAACTTTCAGTACTTTATTTAATCAAAATTGTGAAATAGAACCAGATGAGGTGGTGTCTGCAGTCCTAGTCACACAGGAGGCTGAGATGGGAGGATCCCATGAATTCAGGAGTTCAAAACCAGCCTGGCCAACATAGTGAGACCCAGACTCTAAAATGAAAAAATAAAGCCAAGCTCGGTGGCTCAGCCTGTAATCCCAGCGCTTTGGGAGGCTGAGGTGAGTGGATTGCCTGAGCCCGTGGGTTCGAGACCCGCCCGGGCAACTTGGCGAGACCTCATCTCTACAATAAAATCAAAAATTAGCCAGGCGTGGCGCGCACCTGTAATTCTGGCTACTCGGAAGGCTGAGGCGGAAGGATCACCAGAGACCAGCGGGTCAAGGTTGCGGTGGCTGGAAGTGTGCCACTGCACTCCAGCCTGGGCAATGGAGTGAGACTCCAACTCAAAAAATAATAATAAAATAAAGTAAAATGAAAAAAATTGTAAAATAACTGAGAGGTTGGAGTAATAGGAGGAAAAAAGGTATGAGAGAAGAGAACTAAATCCATCTTCCATGGGAATAAGTCAATAAACAGTAACTACAATTTTTTTTCTTTTTTGAGTCAGGGTCTCAGTTATCTAGGTTGGAGTGCAGTGGCACAATCACAGCTCGCTGCAGCCTCCAACCCCTGGACTCAAGCAATGCTCCTGTATCAGCCTCCCAAAGTGCCGGTATGTGCAGGAAACTTTATTTGTATATAAACAATTTAACTTTTAGACTATTATGGTTTAGTTCAAAGGTAATGAGTTATCTCAGTTGATTGTTCACAGTCATAGATTGAATTCCTTGTTCTACCCTTTCCCCTCCTTCTTACTATTATATTTGAGTAGTCTTAGAAGAAAACAGACTATAACATCTGTAGTTTTAAAAAATAATTTAAAAAATTTGAATAGTAAACACTTAACTTAAAAATGGCTATCCTAGCTGGGCTCGGTGGCTCAGCCTGTAATCCCACGCCTTTGGGAGGCTGAGGTGAGTGGATTGCCTGAGCCCGCGGGTTCGAGACCTGCCTGGGCAGCGAGACCTCATCTCTACAATAAATCAAAAAATCAGCCGGGCGTGGTAGCGCATGCCTGTAATTCCGGCTACCTAGAAGGCTGAGGCGGAAGGATTGCCGGAGCCCAGCAGGCGAGGCTGCGGTGGCCGGGAGCGGCCACTGCACTCCAGTCTGGGCGACAGAGTGAGACTCCAACTCAAAAAAAAAAAAAAAAAATGGCTATCTTCCCTCACAGTTTCACTAAAGACACATATATGCAAAATATAAGAATGACACATTTATTAGTTTATTGTCATCTGGCATTCTCCCTAGATGCCACTCCTCAACTCCCTTAGAAAAATAACTGTGAATATTTTTATGAACTTAAATAACTACCAATAGTTTCACAGTTGGTCATCTTGGCTTATGTAATTGCAGACAATGTATGAAAAGAAAAATTGGTTCTGCTTCTCTCCTTTACAAATAAATTATTAAATGATGTGAGCATTTGAAACATATACCACTGGGCGTAGTGGCTCACACCTATAATCCTAGTACTTTGGGAAGCTGAGGTGAAAGGATTGCCTGAGCCCACAGGTTCGAGATCAGCCTGGGCAACTTAGCGAGACCTCATCTCTACAATTAAAAAAAAAAAAATTAGCTGGGTGTGGTAGCATGTGCCTGTAGTTTCAGATACTTGGAAGGATCACCTGAGCCCAGCAGGGAGAGGCTGGGGTGGCCATGAGCATGCCACTACACTCCAGTCTGGGCAACCGAATGAGACTCCAACTTAAAATAAATAAATAAATAAATAAAAATACATATATACCAATAAAAGTCACCAGAGCAAGTACAGGTTTTTCCAAGCAGAAGTTTTGAAAAATGGTGAAGAGTCATTATTGGAGAAGTGTGTTCCATTATTTTTGGCTCTACTGTGGTTCACTGGCCTATAATTGGTTCATTTATTCAACTCATTCATATAACACTGCTTTACAGATCTCCTTATTACATTTGAGGAACCAAGCTAAATTCTGAATTTCCTGAAATCTGTAATATTCTCATTTATACTTCATGGCCTAAAATACTGTAAATTTATCTTAACATCAGCAATTCTTTTTTAGAAAAAAATCGATTTTAACAACAGGATTGCTATGATTACAGAGATCAAAAGTACATAGCACTCCTAAATTCAACATTCTGAAGAAGTTCTCCACTGTCTTTTCTACATTTCCTGTTTTCCAAGAGTTGGATAAACATCATAGTATTATGTCAATGTTAAAAAGGAAGAAGGGGCTCCATCTTCTGCATTTTCAGGAAAATGTACTTCTCAGGCAAGTATGTATTAAAAAATATACCAAAAAGAAAGGAACCACCAGACAGTAATTCCCATGAAGATATGAGTTTTGCGATCCATCATGGCACTTCCAGTGCCAGAGTACCCGGCAACATACTTGGTACTAAAATGTATTAAATGAATGAATGATCTACTCCTTTATAATTTTGCCTACCTTCTCTAACCAGCAGAGATGCAAATCAGGTATTCCTATGTCTGACTGTTAAGGAAGACTTGCCTTGTTAATTTATGTATCCCCAGAGCCCAGTCAACGTTGAAAGAAAAAAAAAAGGAGGGTAAGCCCTTTTTTGGAATCGGTCAGAATAGGAACCCCCCCATACATTTTATTTGTTACCAATAAAACTTCCAGCAGTCTGTCGTTTTTGAAACAGCATAGCCTTAAGCGGAGTCATTATACTTCTTTTAAAGTCACTTTTTCAGGATAGGTGCTTCCCACTCCATTCAAAGTGAAGACAGGTTAGCAAAACCGCAAAGACCTGGCTAATTCAAACACAAGCTAATTTATTATTATTGGCCCCAATGACCCAATTTCTTCGGCTACAGGCCAACGTCCACAACCGCACTGACACCTCCTGTGGGGCGAATGGCTCACCAGTAGCTGGTGAGGAATGAGCACAGCTCTTCCTGGCCAAAACCGAGGGAGGCTAGGATTTGTACAGTGCAGTCGTCCAAACACCTCGAGTCGATCCCTGCGTTTTAAATCTGCATAAGAAAATACCTTCCGTTTTCCTTGGAACAAGCTTGGGGAAACAAGTCTCCTGAGCCCTTCGGGCGAGCTTTTCCAAATGCTACGGCCCCTTCCAAGCCATCCACGCCCGAGCCCCAGAGCGAGCCACACACCGCAAGACCCAGCTCTAAAGGGTCACAGCCCAGCGGTCCGCCGCAAGCCTCGCCTTTAAAGAAGCCGCGCGCGGTCCGGCTGCCCCGGAGTTCAACTTCCGGCCACATAGTGAGAGGATGTTTTCCTACTGGAGCCGCGCCGCGGGGGCGCGCCCCCGGCCACGCCCTCCTGGCCACGCCCGCCACGCCCGGCCTCCTGAGCGCGAGCTCGGGTGGGCGCGCGGAAGGGGCGGGGCCCCGTGGGCGGCGGCGG